AGGCAGGTGGATTTCAGAGCCTTACTGAGCTGGGAGTACATTGAAACTTTCAAGGAACGATTAGAGGTACAAGGTGCTTAATCTAACAGATTTAATATCAACATGCATTTCATGCCTAATTGTTGGGCTATGCCTTCAACAAGTACTTACACCATCCAGAGCAGCCCAGCAAGTTTTGTGACTGTACATGGAACATGCTGGCATGTACTTTAGTTCCAGTAAACTACAGAGAGCTCAACATTGTATCGAAAACTGAAGTCTGTCTTCAGGAAGAACAGACACAAGGGCTAAATATGCAATATAGAGTGGACAGGGGGGATACAAGTGGGATGGGTAAAACTCTAGATACTAGTCTGATATGGGGGAGCTATATTGTGATACAGTGAAAGTAAGGTGAACAAAATGTGAATTGAGAACTAGTTTTAAATCATGACAAAGCTGACAGTCAGCGTTATTTATGAGCACAATATATCCCAAGGGAAAGTGACAAAAGTTGCCTGACAAACAATGGACAAAGCAAAGCTTTGCACATTATATCATGTGGAAAAGGATGGCACTGAGAGAGATGCTTATGATAAGGGGTTTTTTGATTTGTCTCTGCTTTGTGTTTGTGCAAAGGATTCAAACACAAAAGTAATCAAATGTAACCCAGTGAGGAAAAAGGAACTTGTTTAAACTCTGCAAACATAAGAAACCTGGTGGATTATAATAAAAACAGAAAAGAAAAAAATGGACCAGAAGGGAACTTCACACTCATTTATAGTTACTGTTCTCTGTGAAGGTACACACAGATTGTGGCTGTACTTTTACTTTAAGAGGTGGGGAAAGTATCTATCCCTTTACTTCCCTTGCAAATATTTTAAAAGGAGCAAGCAAGAAAATACTTCCAAATAACCAGACATATGTCCCATGTTTAATTTTATTTCTTCCTCCACTGTAAATCATGCCTCTTCCTCCACAAGTGTTGCTACTATGGAGCCACTGTGGGTCTTTTCTGCAGATATGGGATATGTCCCACTTATTTCCTATGGAATTAGTGTTCACCAGAGTGTGCATACCATGGTGGATTACATATATTCAGTGGGATTACCACTGATGATGATGAGATGGCCATAGGAGATATGGCTTTTTGCTAGAAACCCTCAAGAGAGGGCAATGAAAGCAGTATCTGCTATCTAATGAAAGTTTCTCTCATGTATTTGTTTCACATAACTCCTATTCCTTCTTCCCACTTGTATTTTAAACTGATAGAAATTTCCAAGTCTTGCCTGCAAAAATACTCCTGTAACCTGGCATCAATGACACCATTTTGTTGGTAACCCTCATAGCAGAGCAGACAAGCTCTCAAGCTCTTCATGTGATGGCAGTAGCTTGAAAATAAAAGCAGCAGTTTTTAAAGTGGGAAGAAACTTTGTTCAAAAAAAGCAAGGGTTTTTGTTTAATTCCAGAAAGTGCCAGAAGTGAGGGTGCTGTCTTGTGCATTTCTGTTGTCAAATAGCACCAGGTTAATCTGGCACTTGCTCTCCCATGTTACTGGTGTCTGTACCCAGAACAGCTTTCCAGCATGAGTAGGTATCTCCAACTCGGTCCTGACAAGATCTTCAATATTTCCTTGCTTCTTAATTTATTTCCCAAGCCAAAATGCTGTCTAACCAGAACCCACTTAACACTGAATGAGATTGGATGCATTTATAGTACCCTTCTTGTCTTGCTGCTTTTTTTTTTTTTTTAAACCTGTTGTATGTTGCAAGTGATCATAGGAGACTCTCAAACTTGCTCTGTGAAATGAAGCCTGCTTATATACCCAGAATCAGCATGAGTATGTCCCATTACCCTGGGCTTTTCCTTAGCTGTAAGGGCTGTGAGTGGGTTGCAAAGAAACATTCAGTAACTTTTGAAGCATAATTGAAGCCACATCAATATCTGGCAAAAAAAGGATGTGAGCAGGCGTGACTTTCAGGCAGCAGATGTTAAGATTCGGTGATTAGTAGTTAGATGTTTTGCAGTGACCAGTTTAATGGTTAATGTCTGTCTTGTAATGAGGGATCATTTTTATTTCAAGTTCAGCATTCAGATTCCCACGGTCATGCTGGTAAAACCACAGAAAATTTTGATCAGCTTTTTCAATTCTATTTTTCATAAGAATTAAGAAAGTGGAGCTGATAATGGATTAGGAAAGATCCATTTGTGAAGAAGAGAGTGACTGGAAAGCAATACCAAGATCCTTGATGATAGCATAAGATTTAGTTTTTTAGACCATCTGCCTTCTGTTTCTAGAAAATGAAATTAAATAATGATGGGAATGAAAGGATTGCACTTTAAAAAAAATTTCCACTGTAATTTCCTTCTACATTTCCAATCCTTTAATTATAATTTTCAAGCTTTGTGTCTATGCAATACAGAAAGTTATTCCTTTGTTCTGCAGAATGAAATTGTGTGTACATTCCACTTGTAGGGAAAATAAACCTTATTAAAAGACTTAATATAATTACAGTACCTTAGAATGGGTGTATTAAGGATAGTAGGATTAACGGGCAGAAGAGAAGGATATTATTTTCATGAAGTTTTGCAGAATTTCTTTTCATTAAAGTTTGATATGTGTTAATTTTGGGAGACGATTGAAGTGCATCTTTTACAAAAGCCTTTTTAGGTTGAACAGTGACAATATAAAATTGTGATTCACTGATTATTTCAGAAGTTAATTTTGCCCTGTTTATATATTCTGTGACTATGTTATATTATTATAAATGTTGCTAGAAAAGCTTTAGGAGACTACAGACTGTGACAAGCATAAATTAAGGGAAATGCTAAAAATCTGGAAAATCATAGTTGTTTCTTCTTAGGGATTCTTTCAAGTCATTTTTTAAGTTAGCAGCAGATCCCTGATTCGAGGGTGCATCTTTGATATGTTAGCAGGATGTAAGCTAACTCCTTCTAGTTTCCAGAAGCAATAATGTGACTTGAGAGAGGTTCAGTTCAATATTTAGAATAGAGGGAGAATTCTATTCCCTTTGTAGCAGCTGCTTTCATATATGTGAAACAAAATTCCCTCCTTTTACTTGTTCCTATTTTGGCATGTGCAGTCTTCTACACATACACAGGAAAGCAAAATAAACACATGTACCATTTAGAAGAAGGCTCTTACAGAAAGCTATGAAATGCAGAGTTTGGTGTGGTGTATCTTTCTTGTCCAAGTGCACAAATTAAGTAGAAAAAATAGTTTTAAAGGTCAGTGGTTTGTGGAACATGTCCAAAGGAAAAGGAATGAAAAAAATTTTGAAATCTCAATTAACTTATCATCGTGACAGCTTTTTTCATTGTGCAGATTTCTGTTACTTCTTGCAGAAAAAGGAAGTACTCTTTTGTAATTTTGTCTGAAGGGAATGTAAAAGATGCATTTATGGAATGCACTGTACCTTATTGAACCTAGCAGAGTTACCTGTGGAAGGGCTTCAGTCCAGGCAAGTATGCAGAGAGGCAGAAGACTCAAACTGCATTATTGTTTGATATCTTGTGGTAGAAATGAATCTGCAGTCAACTACAGCTTTTCTTCCCCCCACCTTTCCATAAGAAATTTATGGCTTTTTATTGTTATATGGAAGTATTTTAGCATCTAAGTGAAAATATATCCTCCATTAAAATGAAGCAATTGACACTGCATAGGATATTGATGTGTATTTTATGACTTTATGGGGAGCACAGAGCTTTTTTCAAGAACACAGGATTTTGCAATGGCTCCTTTAAAAGATTAAAGGCAAAGTGATTCAGAGATTTCAAGAGCCCTGTTGCCACTTGTTCCAATTCTTCAAATACAGGCAAATCTCAGCATCAAGTCACTGCAGTTTGGAGATGAGCATGTAAGGTAACTCCTGGATAAGCCAGATACTGAGATGTTAAAAATCTCACTCCAAATCCATTAGTGTGAAGCACTAGACATCCAAATGTCATGAACACACTTGTTTATAGTAACCTTTTTTATGCAGTGTCCTCTTCTGCCCTGAGTCAACCAGATTCTTCAAGTCTAAAGAAGTGCCCATGGCAAATCTGTGAAATTAACTTTCTGCCATGTACTTTTGAGTTTAAATGTTTCTTGTATTCATCTTTCTTAGAACGTTTTTGGACAATTAGGCTTCCTTGTATGTTTTCTGAAGTGCCAATGTGGGAACGCCATGTTTCCTTTTTTCTTCAAATCTTACTTTCCAAAAGGTATTTTGAGGAGTGGAAGTGGCCATTTTGCATAAAACCTTAGGAGAGGGAACATTAATTTAAAAGCAGGAAAATGCAGACATTTTACAATTGCATGATCTAACTCTTTTTCTTTATTATTCCAGTGAAGACTTTCTGCACATCAACTTCTTTGCTTTCCCTCTCTCAATAAATTTTTTGTTTATGTGGGAACTATTCTCAGTGCCAGATCCAAGCAGTGCAGAGTCCTTCAAAAGCTTTGCTCTTTAGCAAATCCCTCTGGAGCTTTAACTAGGACCTCCAAATTCTGTTTGTCTTCTCCAGCAGATGGGCACATACAGAAGAAATCATATATTCCAGGAAGCGAGTTTGTATCACCCCATTGATTAGGGACATCTGAATACTAATTTGATTTGCATTGTGGATGACCTTGGTGAGGGTAAAGTGATGCACAAATTGAACTGTGCAACTGGATTCTCTCTGTGTGCTCTATTTTGCTTTCAAGCATTTCCCTTACAAAATGTGATTATTTAGTCTTTGAGGAGTTTGAGTACTTTTTGGTGAACTTTGTTACTGACGAACATTAGTAAACTCCTGTGTCTTTGGCAGAATACCAACATTCCATGTGAATTCCAGGTGTGTAGGGCATGGCATCTGTGCAGAGCTGATGCATTGCTCATTAGAACTTGCTATATTACAGTATGGAGTTCCAGCAAAACGGCAAGAGAATGGGTCTTTCATCTGTATATCTTTGTTTTCAAACCTTCCTGAGAAGGTGATCATACATGAGGATCATAGCTTAGATGAATTCATAATTTATAATAATTACTATTAAGTGCTGCAGCCTAAATAAATCCACAGAAATGTTGCTATGTATATTGTTAAATATTGTTTCCATATTACTGTAGTGTTTCTGCTGGTGACTTGACTCTTCCAGGCAGAGATAGCCTTGTATAACTGAGGCTTTGCCTGGATTACTGATATTGCACACTGATAGGTCTGTGCTGGTATGTTAACACTGTCTTCATGTGGATTTTATGGGGGTACTGTGGATGTATAATCTGCACAGTCTTAATGATACTTATATATTACCTATCCTGCTTTCCATTGATCTCCAGGCTATCCGGTGCACTCTCGTGAACTGTAGTTGTCAGTGTTTCAAACCTGGGAAAATAAATCAGCGACAATGTGACCAATGCCGGCACGGATGGGTAGCACATGGTAATATTTGTTTTTACAATCTATAGAAAACCATTTAGGATCCTCATAACTATCATATGCTTTTTGTGTCACTCCTCAACCCCCACCCCAGTATTAGTTGCATTCCATTTTCTCTTTCTCAGGACGCAAGTTGACTTACATTTTGTGATTTTTCTTTTCAGCCCTGAGCAAACTAAGAATTCCAAACCTCTACCCATCAAGCCAAGTAGAAATAGTTCAATCCAATGTTGTCTTTGATATCAGTAGTCTCATGTTGTACGGAACCCAAGCCATTCCTGTGCGCCTTAAAATTCTGCTCGATCGGCTTTTCAGTGTTCTGAAGCAGGAAGAGGTGATACAGATTCTCCATGCTCTGGATTGGACACTGCAGGATTATATACGTGGATATGTGCTACAGGTATTTAGAGGGGCTTTTAAAATAGAAATATGACAGTTAAGTGGTTTTCTAGCTTAATCTTCTCTGTGGTTCACGATGTGTTAACAGCGTGGCACATCTGAAAGGCAATAATAGACCTGTACGAGCTTAATGCCAGAAAAGAAAGGGTGGATTTCTGGTGATTGCTCTCTTTTAGTTTGACTTGATTGAAATCTTTCCACTTGCTCAAATCTAGCAACAAAGGTAAGCAAAAATAAAAATCAAAAGTTGTTGGTAATGTATCAAAGTAAAGACTTTAGAATTTGTACTAGTATTATTTAAACAGTGAGTTTGCTTTTATACAGCAGAATAATACATCAAGAAATAAACTTACCATTATTTAAAACACCAGGGACAATATTCATCTCTGGTAGTGCTATCGACCTATGGCGCTGCAGCCAGAGTGTATTTGGCCCTATGTGCTTACACTGATGTTAGTCCTTGCTGCTGTGGAAGTTACCTTTTATGTAAAGTAACATTATGATCTTACATTATGACATGAATCAATATTTAATGGTCTTGATAATCTTGCTTTTTAGTGTTAGGATTAAAAATATGGAATCAATTACCTTGAACCTCTATCACATGAAAAATTTATAATGTTACGTTCTTCATCATCTTAGAAACTCTTACATGCACTGTGAAAAATCTCAGTAGGCCATCAAATACATGTTCTGTGATAAAATATTTATTGTAGTTATTGGGAAAAGTTAGGCATAGCTAGAGTTTGAAAGAACTCCAACACTAGTGTAATTACAGCTGTGCTCTGTGAAAACTGGCAATAGATCAATATAGGTTCATTTGTTCTCTGATCTTAGTTGCTTGGAAGATTATTAAACTTGCAATGAAAGAATACTTGACTTAAATGAGGAGCTAAATCTTGGTCTGATTGCTCCATCTCTGCTCTCTGTGCTTACAGGATATTATCTGTTGTTCAAATACCATGTCTTAATTTTTGTGGAAAAAATAGTTTATTGGAAAGTATTTCTGTCAGTTCAGGAAGAAATAATATCACCAATGTGGCAAAATTTGGAAGAAACTATCACAGACTTCGCATTAATCTCATTACATAAATGTAATTTTAAAAATTTTTTGCTAGAGAAGAAATTTTAGTCCCTGAAAAAAACATGAGAGATTTGAGGGGAGGTGTTTTTTGTTTGCCCCAAGTAATGTCTAACTCATTTAAATACTTTTGGCTTTAGGATGCTTCAGGAAAGGTGCTGGATCACTGGAGCATAATGACCACTGAAGAAGAACTGGCTACTTTGCAGCAGTTTCTTCGCTTTGGAGAAACTAAGTCCATTGTAGAGTTAATGGCAATTCAAGAGAAAGAAGGGCAGTCGATCATAATACCACCACCAACTGCCAATTTGGATATTAGGGCATTCATTGAGAGCTGCAACCCACACAGTCCTAACTTTTCTGCTTCCTTGGACAAAATGAGTCCCACCAACATTCATCCCTTTGAGAATATTGTAAATAGCATGGCTTTCATGCTGCCGTTTCAGTTTTTCAGTCCAGTGCCTCCACCTTTGATAGGTTCACCACCAGAAAGACATTTGATTGAGCAAGGTCAAGACCATAGCAACGAAACCAAACAAGATCTTCAGATACCATTTTCTGAAAGCAGTTTCTTAACTTCTAGTTCTGCACCATTTCAAGTTGAAAATGAGAGGAGCATAAATGGTCCAGATGTCACTAAAACAGAAGATGATGCCCTTTTAAGTGATTCCAGTTCACATAATACAGCAGCCAAGCTTGAAATGACAGCACTATCTCCAGAAAACAAAATGAAATCTGTTGAAAAAAATGCTGGGCCAAGGAAAGGGCGTGTCTTCTGCACTGCATGTGAAAAAACATTTTATGACAAAGGTACTTTGAAAATACATTACAATGCTGTTCATCTGAAGATAAAGCACAAGTGCACCATTGAGGGCTGCAATATGGTGTTTAGCTCATTGCGTAGCCGAAATCGTCATAGTGCAAATCCTAACCCCAGACTCCATATGCCAATGAACAGAAATAACAGGGATAAAGATCTAAGAAATGGTTTGACCATTGCTGGACCTGGAGATAGTAAAAGGACAGAATTCACAATTTTAACTCCAGATAGCAGAACTATTTCCAGCTATGCCAGCTCTTGTACAGATTTAAAAGGCCAGGCTGGATTTTCCAGTATTGGACATAACGGTGTCCTCTTTCCAAACCTGAAGACAGTACAGCCTGTTCTTCCTTTTTACCGTAGTCCAGTCACACCAGCTGAGCTTGCCAATACTCCGGGTACTCTTCCTTCTCTGCCTCTCGTTTCTTCCTCAATACCAGAGCAGCTTGTTTCCAATGAATTGCCATTTGACATGCTCCCCAAGAAGAAATCTCGTAAGTCGAGCATGCCCATTAAGATAGAGAAAGAAGCTGTTGAGACACCCAATGAAAGTAGCGATGTTGCCAGTTCTGAAGATGATTCACGTCTGCAGGGGGTAAGCGATGGAGAGCTTGAGACCTCTGAGCATAAGATAGAGAAGCGGGTGACCGACAGGGTGGAAAAGCTCCCCCATTCAGGTAATTCATGGAAATCTCTCTCTGGGGTAGAGGGCCCAAAGTATTTTGAATCGGTCTTTGCGCCAAATAACAAATACATCGAGGATATCTCTGAGAATGAATTGCAGCACTGTGAGAAAGAGGTTAAACCAGAAGAAAACCAACCATTAAAAATAGTTTCCCATGAGATTATATATGAAGATCCAAAACACCACCACAGTGATGTTATAAAACCAATGACTGAACCCCCCATGTATATTAAAGAGCAGTCAAAGCACAGGATTCCTAAAAATGACTGCCCTGAATTGCAACACCACTTGCTGACTGGGGGCTTTTTCAGCACTTTGTCAAACAGGGGTGCTGCCATTCCTTGTTTTGAAGACTCTAAAGATATGGATCATGTCAGTCAACATGCACTAGGGATTCAGAAGGAAGAAAGCCGCTTTCATTGCGACATCTGTAAGAAGACTTTTAAAAACCCTTACAGTGTAAAAATGCATTTCAAAAATGTACATCTCAAAGAAATGCATATTTGCACAGTTGAGGGCTGTAATGCTGCTTTCCCTTCTCGTAGAAGTCGAGACAGGTAAGAAAATTATAAACAAAATTGTATTTATTTTACCATCACAATGGAACCTAATTTGAAATTAAAATGAGTGTTTGAGGAATGGAGCCTACAAATATTTTCTGTATATCCTCGTATAACAGGTATGATAACTTATCAGAACATTCTTGAAATGAAAATCCATTGAAAGAAACATTTCCTTTCTACAAGATTACAAGGTATTAAATAAAGCCATGAAAATTTCATAAATGATAAAGACTGCAGTAGTTGAAAGAGTACTTTAGTACATAAAGGGAAAGCCATAAGGGTATGAATTCAGCAATTTTCCAGTAGATGCATGTGTGGACTTACATGTTTAATATGTACTTTCATGTGTATTTTAATGTATGCAGTGTTTTTTAATGAAAAAGCAATGAGGTCAATTCATGAAATCCTCACTTGCCATTGTCCTTTCTTTACTCAAGGATTTGGAACAGACTGGTGAGAAAAAGCCCATAAGAAAAGCAAGATTAGTCTTTGTCAGCCCAAAATTAACATTGTGCAGTGGTAGTCAAACTAACACTATCTGGTGTGTATTCACATCAGTAGTGCTTTTCTGTGAGATTAAATACTAATTTCTAAATAAAGCATGAGCCTGATTCAGCTTAATGTTCATTTCAGTACTGCATTGCTGCAATGCATTTTATTTCAGCCTATTATGCACATAAACTGAGCAGCAAGAGCTGAAGCTTTATTGTTGACCATCAGTAATGTATCTGAAGCGGTCAGTGATAGGTAACAAACCTACTCAAGTGCAACGAAGTGTTACAAGTTTTCCAAGTCTGTAGCGGTGTTAGAGCAGCTTTTGGCTGCAGGGAGCATGCCTGGATAGTAGTTCAGAGTGACACGAGGTTTAGATTGTCTGTAATCTGCTAGGAGTGCTGGAGCCAGCTGATGCAATCCAGAGGGGATGAGCTGGTCTCTGAGGACTGGCCGCTGCAGCTGAGATGCACAGATTCATCTGCTGCTGGCAGGGCTTCATACCCTGCTGCCTGCATCTTCCCAGATGTGAATTCCTCTCCTCTGTAATTGCGATATGGGCCACAGGAAAGAAGGCCAGCAGTAAGATTTGCATTCACATGCCACAAATTCCTTCCCACACCAATATGTTGAGATAAGTTTTAACATAGGTGATTTTGGAAGATGGGTGTAAAAATTTTTTTTAAAAGGCGAGTGAGCTCAGAAGAAATTTCACAAGCTTTGTACAAAGTAATAGTTATTTGGAACAACTTTGCAGAAGTTTCTAGACTTTAACATAGAGTAGTGTGACTACAAGTGCTAAATATTTCTTTGCCTTTTGGAACAATTCATGGTTCTGATTAAACCATGATGGCAAAGAGAAGGACAAATGTTTTGCCAGTATTACAATAAACTCAGCCTTCTAGACAGAGCCTGCAATTCCTGGTGAGCTGATCGATAATATTCAATGAGGAGCAGTGATTCTGTATGTTTTGGTAGTTTTAAACTGAACCCAGAGATGCCCATTTGAAAACTACAAGGTGCATATAACTCAATTTTCCTTTTCCAAGGAAACTCCTGCTAAGAAAAGGCTCTGTACTGATATGTACAGGTGCATCCTGGACATGGTTACAGTACTTGAGATCATCAAGTTTTTGAAGACTCAGGTGTCAATCCGTTCCTGCTTGGTCCATTGGGAAAGAATTTTGATTCTTACCCACCTCAGTCCATTCTCTGATCTCAGTTCAGTTTACAGGTTTTTAGTCTGTCCCCACCTCTTTTGGACTTAGCACTAGATGTAGCAGAGCAGACAGCTATCCCCAAAGCAGGAGAGAATCTGAAACACTGATTGCTGTAGAATTATTGCATAGAATCTGATATATGCCAGTGCAAGCAAGTTCAGAAACCCAGTCAAATGTGTAAATTGTCCATATGCAGTCCCAGTGTGGCAGTTGGTCAAATCTGAAGTACACAATTTATGCATGCTACTGAATATTGATTTTCCTTTCTTTGTTTATGATCATTATGAAACAGCTGTTAAGTGAGGTGAAACACTTTCTTGCTAAGCTTGTCTTTGTTCTTCTAGACATAGTTCAAACCTAAATCTTCATCATAAGCTTCTGACTAGAGATACACTGGAATTCAACAACCATTTCAATGCAACATACCTCTTGAAAGACATGGCTAAGGAGTTTTGCCAGGATGTCTCTTTAAAACAACACGTTGGACATACTTCTGTAATCTTCAAAGGAATGAACAGAACAGGCAGCTACGTTTTTCCAATGAGCAAAATTGCAGAACCCTGTTCTGAGAGTTATGGATACGATCCATTAAATGATGGAGCTGTTCTGGACCTAAGCACTACTTCCAGTGTTAAATCTGAGAGCAGTGCTCATTCTTCTTGGGATTCTGATGGAGGAAGTGAAATATGCACCATGCCCTTGGATGATAGTGATGAAAGCTGTGAAGGACCCAGCCTAATGCCCAATGATGAACTATACCAAGACTGTACTTTAATTGAGAAAGCTAATCACAACTTTATGAATTTACCTTCCAGTTTGCCAATAACTTGTCATATATGTCAAAAAACATACAGTAATAAAGGAACTTTCAGGGCTCATTACAAAACTGTGCATCTCCGCCAGCTCCACAAATGCAAAGTCCCAGGTTGCAACACAATGTTTTCATCTGTTCGCAGTCGGAACAGGCACAGTCAAAACCCCAATCTGCACAAAAGTCTGGCTGGGTCACCAACTAGCTTACAGTAAGATCAGACTGATCTTAATTTATTTCTGCTAAGAATTAATCATTTCAATTAAAGAATGTGTTAACATGAGTTTTATTTAAGTTTATTTGACTTCTAGCTTATTCAACAACCATAGTCAAATTCTTTTCTCCTGTGTGTGCTCTCCAGCAAGTTTCAGTTAGCAAAGCTTGGTGCTGTAGTTTTTGTGCAATTGTTTGATTTGATGTTGAACAGCTAAAACTTCTGTAAGGAAAACACCTTAGAAATGGGGGAAATACGGAGACATTAACTCAAGTGTTTCTGATACCTGTGAAGTATTACTTGCCACAATAGGAGCTTCAAATGACAACATTCATTGCTTGTATTTACATGTTAAATGGGTTGTTGTGTTGTGTAAGAAATGAGTAATGATTGGGGTGAGTATCCTCTTGTTGGGTTGAGAATCTTGAGGCTACCATTTCGTTCCTGAGACCTTAGACTGAAGTTGACTTGCAGTGTTAGTAGAATAGAATATATGTACTTAACTATATCCCCAAATCCAAAGAAGAAAATACAAATTTGAGAAAACTGAATATAGTCCAAATCTTCTGAAAATCCTGCAGTCCTTACTCTTTAATGTTATGTTTCACTTCAGTGAAGATTAGAGTGTTTTGCATTTCTCAGAATTTAATACCATTTGCTTTGCAGGAAAAGGGGCTACTTTACTTGTGGGCAGAAAAGCCTGAATAAATCTGAGACATTCTGATAAATTGTGGTGGTAGAAAGAATGAATAGGCTAAGCTACAATTTCTAAACTACAGCAAATGCATCCATAAAATTAGAGGGAAAGTAAGCCCTTTAAATTAAAATGCACTTTTTGAGTTCTACTTTCAGGAAGAGGAAAGTTTTATTAAAAATGGAGGGGGGGGGGGGAAGAGGAGAAAATCCCCAATCAAATATCCGAACTGCTTAGGAGTTTGAGAGTGCAATTCTAAGCCTTTGAGAGAAAGAGATAAAATGGATGCAGTAGATAGATAGATAGATAGATAGATACATCTTTTGTGATGCAGCAGTTAGTTTCTCTTGCCAGTGGGGGATAAAATGTGTTGATCTTTGTAACAATAGAATGCTTATTCTCATTCACACCTCTTTTTATAGGATCGTTGTTCAATATCTGTTAGACTGTTTCATATCTTTGTAGTTGCCCCTGTAATTAACAGTATTCTGCATTACTTCTATGCACTTAAGAAGACTGGCCTTGCATTGTATTTAAAAACACTTTAATATTTAATTTGCAGTCACATCATACAAATGCTGTGTGTGTACTTGTGGTGTGTCCTCTCAATCATTTGCAAAGAGGAAAAGAAATAAGAGAGCAAGTCTTACAGTACAGTTTTTACTTTATTCCACCAGTGGAAATCTGTTGATCAATTCTAGTATGCAAGCATGACATTGACAGCACAATCTGTACATATTATACCAAAGTGCTTACAGTATTTGTGGTTTCTAAACTAGTCTAGCTTTCCAGTATAACTGGATCTTAGTCTTTATTCATTTTTGTGACTGAATAAAAATAGACTGAAATTCAGGATTTCATATGTATGTAGAAAAAATAGGACAATGCTATTGCCATATGTCTTGATGTTTAACTTATTCTAAAAAATCCTATGGTATTGTAACCATTTCATACTGTATAAAAGAAACAAATGTGGACTGAATATTTCACCAATTCTTTTGAAAACTGGTTTGTGTGTGAGTATGGGTTATGCAAGGAAAAAACATGACACAGTTGTAAATGTTTGTGCTCACTAGAAATGGTTTCCATGCATTGTGTAAAGTAATCTTCTATTTTTTTAATTTACTGTAGGTTTATGTATATTTAAAATAATCCATTTGTGCTTGAAGCCGTCAGGAAAAAATATTATCCTGAGGAAAGCTGTGCCATTGCTTTGAGGTTTTGTGTTCTGGGGGGAATTGGTGTTTTGGTTTTTTGGGGGGAGTAGGGTGGTGTTTGTTTTGTTGAGGTTTTTTTACTGTTGTTTTCTTTGGATTTTGATAGAAACTCCTGTCAGTGGGGGTCATAGTTTGAAAGCTAAGGGCACAATCACAGGAGAAACAATTGCTCCCAGTCTTTTGATAGTATAAATCAATTATTTGTTATCCAGCTATTTCAAGCTCTTTTTTTTAATACATATGTATATATATATATAAAATTTCTTGGTTTAATCATTAACTGGTTTTTTGAAACAAAATGTGATGTAAACAAATGTAATGCCCATTTATTTAGTTTTCACTGTGTCAAAAAAAAAGAAAAAGAAACACATTTGTATACCCTAATAATTTTGTATGTGTTAATAAAAACCAATAATAATCCTTCTGGTTGATTCAGAAAAGTAGGCTTTTTTGCTTGAAAATATTGCAATTCTTAATTTTTATTTTAAAAAACAATTTCTGAGAACACATTCTGTCTGTAGAGAGCACTGGTTTGACAATGGTGCTAACTTATTCCATAATAAGGAAGTGTCATTATTTTAATGAACCATTAGAAGTAATGTAATAAATGTTGTCAGATATTTTATTGTTTTTTTTTCCTTTGTGCAGTAGGCAAGGGTAGAGGTTCATTTAAAAGCCATCAGCTAAACAAAAGGTAAATATCTCATCATTGAGAACTACACTGAAAGACATTTTGTGCCCTCTTTATATTTTGAAAGGGTTTGGTGGGGGTTTTTTTGTTATTTCTCAAAAATCTGGGCAGGATGGGAGATTTCTCAGAAGAGTCTAACCCATAGTATCCCTGGAGCAGCATATGTATCTCATGAAGTGTTTGTGTAGCTCCCTCCTCCTAACGACCACAATGTGGCTGGACCAAGCCTTGACATCTCCTGTTAGTTTTAAATACGTGTGATGCTTATAGCAGCCTGTATCACATATTCACCACAGATGTTGAAGGAAGTAACCTCACTTCAGAATAGTAGTACCATTATTTTTGGAGCTTTTCAGAGTCGGTCTGGAAAGCTAAAGCAGCTTCCCCTGGCTGAGGCTCAGTTCCAGAGATGTTCACATCTGTGCTGTGTGAGTATGTGAAGTTGGGGGCTCAAATCTTTTCCTGAGATTTGAACTGGGCCTGGGCATGCCCACCCCTACTACTCAAGTGTGTTGCTCCTTTTTTATTTTATCTTTTTTCTTCTCCCTCAGAAAACAAGAGCCTCAAAAACTAGATCCTGTCGTCTTTCTGTGACTCGAAAGGAGAAGGCACGGGTGCACAGTGCGGGGTAGCCACTCCGAGCATCCATTTTCAGAACACAGGTATTTTGAACAGTTTGTGGTAGCAAATCTATGTCCCTCTGGAACAATGAGTGTACTGGTGCTTACAGGAGTATTTGCGGAAATCTGTTTTGAATGGAGTGTAAGGGATTTGTTTTTATAGCCCCAGTTTTCTAAGTACTTTGAAAAGAACTGCGGCAAAACCAGAGGCTGCTGTTTCTCGTGAATCTTTACTGAAGTTATACACTGCAAAACCCAGCAAAGTGGAGAAACAAGTTCTGAAAATACCTGTCTGATGCCCTGCATTGAATAGGGAATCCTAAAAAACAGCTAAACTACTTGGACTTAATCCAGGGATTTTTTACATAGAGTGCCAAGTCCTCTTTGAAAAAGGTTCACAAGCAACTTCTGATTAATCAGCAAGCATAGATTTAAGAAAAGCAGCTAAACTAAAAACACCTTTAGAGTTTGAGATACAGCCCATAAGGATTCCATTCAGCCTGCAAGTGAGCATTCATTTCCAAGCTGAAATGAGAGGTCAAACTGGGAAGGAGACAACAGTGCAATGAGAGGAGGAAGGTTGGATCAAAGGTTTTGTTCAGAGCAGCATTTACTGCCAGTCCCCCCGATTTGAGGGGAGAGCAAGACAAGGTTTGAAGGAGAATTAAGCATGCCTAGCATGATCGAGTCAGCTTTGAATGACTTGGAAAACTTTTGGAAAACTCTCGAACAGATTGCTGGCTAGAGAGATTTCCATATAACCTCAGCAAGCATGTTTCTGAAGGTAGACTGGCTTTTAATTTCCCCTTTCCTTCACCCCTCACCCCCTGGCTCCCCTTGCCTTTTGGCAGTCCTTGGATTATGCGAGGTTGCTAACTTGGAAATGTACTGTTGAAACATCACCCTGTTAAACTGTAGCCCTGTCAGCTCTGTTCCCTGTGAGCACCCTCCAGCTTTTATGTGTGGTCTGTAAAAAGGCAAAGGAAAGGTAACACCGTGAAGTGACAGTCCCTCTCTGGTGAGCACTTCATCTAATTCTGCACTGGTTTAAAGCTTCATGGAAGCATTTGTAGCCTTTTATATTGTGTCTCTGTAGCTCCTACCCTAAACTGGTAAAACTGACTGTGAATTACTCTCCATTATTGCCTGCAGATGCTTGTGCTTAATAAGCAGATAAGTTGCTTTGACTGCTGAGTGCAGCACTGAAAGAGTTTGTCAAACTTGGGCTTGCCAAAGTCTCTAGCAAAACTCTCCTGAATTTGGACTGTGAGGAGTACCATATATCAGCTTCATTCTACAATTTATTTTTTTTTCTTTTCAATAACTTCAGGCCAATCCAAACATGTCTTAAGTGTGAGCTGATTCTTTGCTTCAGTCTTTTAAATCTTTGGTGATTAGTCTCTTGTTCTGTAGTTTCTGCTCATTCGGTGTAGGGATTTCCAAAATGTGTTATTTTTATAATATTGCTGCTATTGTTAACTCCTGCATCTGCCACTCTTTAGAAGCTTGCAAATTTAGAAGCTTTCCTGTCATACAATGATATGAGAAAGAGAACTCTGTACTTTTGAAGCTTCCTTGCCCTTTTTCAGTCTTTGAGTCAGACTGTAAGTTCTTAAAATATGTGACACATTTCCTATTCACTCCCTGTCTGTACATCTCCTGCCACAGACCAGAGTTTCTCAAGACCAGAAGTCCAGTCTGCCCTTCTCACTGAAGCCTAAAGCCAGTGAGGTGACTGTCAAGGATGAACTGAATTACCCTGGATTGTTCTCACCTCCTCTTTGTATCCCTTCAAATTCAGAAACAGCTAGTCCTAACTTTTGTTCAGTCACAATAAACTGCAATGGCTTCCTGACTTTTTAAAAAAGAGAATCCCGTAGTTGCAAATAATATATTACTGTGAAGGTATGTACTGAGCAACTTGCACTGCAGTAAAACTGAGCAGATGAAAAGATTTCAATCTGAGTTCTCATTTTAATTCCAAAATTATTATTTTTAACTATAGTCATTATACAAGCTGTTTTCTAGGAAAATATCTTATTTGAATCTGCTGATTTATAAGAATGACAATATGTATATGCACTTTGTGCATAGGTGATTTATGCACGCATATATATCAATACATAGTAAAATTGCATATGCATAGGGCTGCATATTCATGTTAAACCTAATTCTGTTCTCATTTATGGTAATGTAAGTTGAGAGCAATTTCAATGAATTCAGTAGAACAGGGCTTATAATACTGGAATCATGTCTCAACAAGGATTGTTAGTTACATGTGTGAGTAAGTAGGCCCATGTAGGCTGCTTACAGTGCTTTGTAACTGTTAACGTACTAAAACAGGTCAAAATATTACACTATGAAAGAAAAAAAAACAAATTTTTGCTCATTTCTACACCCCCATCTCCACTATAAATGATTAGTTTGTAGGCAATATTTTACATGACCAATGTAATAACTGTACTAGTGTTATCTTTGCTGGTAACAGCATGAAACAGATCCTGCGTAGATATAAAACACTAACTCTGAGTGAGCTTGGCCAGTTTAGGCAAGTTCAAAATCTGGACAGATATGCCTTATGACATTCCGACAGTCTCCTGCCAAAAATTC